ACATCCATCCAACATCTATCCAACATCCATCCATCATCCACCCAACACCCATCCAACATCTATCCAACATCCATCCATCATCCACCCAACATCCATCCATTATCCACCCAACACCCATCCAACATCTATTCAACATCCATCCATCATCCATCTAACACCCATCCAACATCTATCTAACACCCATCCAACATCTATCTAACACCCATCCAACATCTATCCAACATCCATGCAACATCCATCTAACATCCATCCAACACCCATCCAACATCCATCATTTTCACAATTGCATTCATTTAATTTGTTGATGTATTGATTGACATACATGACAACACTTAAGGTCACCATGGCAACAGAGGACGGGTTATATCACACCTGGAAGGAAAATACTTTGCTGAAAGCTGAACGACTGCCTCCAACTGGATTCTATTGAAATATTCAACACACACACACCTTTCACGTTCTGTACATGTGTGTGTGCATATTGAATCAAAAACAGATAGATTTGTTTGAACACACACAGCATCATGCACGGTGCTGTGCTGCAACATCAACCAACAACTACGATGATGTCATCAGCATGCTGCAGGTGGACAGAGTCGGGGGGTGGGGAAGGTGGGGACAGGAGTGACAGTCCAGCAGACAGAACCAGACAACACAAACATTTACGTCCATCTGTCCATCATCAGGAGCAGGTCAGGAGGAGAAGGAGGAGGAGAGGCGGTTTCACAAACACGGAGACAGAAAATTAAAGTCGTTTTGTCGGTTTTACCTTGTCGGGAGATGAACGAGCTAGCTAGAGAGCCACGTAGCTTATATCCAGCTTTCCACCGTGAGATGAAGGAAAAAAGGGAAGGAAAGAAACGAGAAGAAAGAAAGAAAAGGCAGAATGAATAAATGAAAAGTGAGTCTGAGAGGGAGAGAAAGATGGAGGCAACGCCTCAACCGGGTGTTGATGTCATAAAAAAAAAAAAAAAATCACAAAACTTCAAAAAGAAAAAAATTGTTTATAAAGAGAGGAAAATAATTTAAAGTTTGATTTTAAACTGATTAAATTAAAAAACATTTTGGATTTCAAACTGTGTATTTAAAATGACTTATATTTGTATAAAATGCTATTAAATGTATAATCATATATCAAGGAATGATTTTTACATTGTACAATTGTAAAATTTATTGTATAGATAATTATTTAGTGAAGAAAATCTCATTGTTAATTGATAACGGCTTGGGACCCAAGAGTCCCAGGTTGATCCCCAGTCACTGCACATCACGTGGCGTCTCTGGGCAGCACGTCTAATCCCCAAAATGTCCCCCGGGCGCTTTCAATAGCTGCCCACTGCACCACCTGGTGGTGGATGGGTTAAATGCAGAGACTAATTTCGCCATTGTATGGAAACATACAGTGCTGACATTGTGATGACATTATTATTATTATTATTATAAACAATAACATCTATTATTTTAATGAATGCGATTTACAAATAAAATAAAGGGATAGAAAAAAGTATTGTTTGTGTTAAAACATAAGAAAACCTGATAATAAAAAATCTATGAGTTTGTTTCTAAAAAAAACCTTTGATTTGTTCGTGTTTTTCTACCTTCATGTGAACTAATTTTCTCCAGTTGATGCATTTTCTATCAGACCTAAACAAGCAAAAAAGCTCCACCTCTATAGTGGACAGAAAGCTCCGCCTCTATATGAGGCAGGAAGCCCCGCCTCTATATGAGACAGGAAGCTCCGCCTCTATATGAGGCAGGAAGCCCTGCCTCTATATGAGGCAGGAAGCCCCACCTCTATATGAGACAGGAAGCTCCGCCTCTATATGAGACAGGAAGCTCCGCCTCTATATGAGACAGGAAGCTCCGCCTCTATATGAGGCAGGAAGCTCCGCCTCTATACGAGACAGGAAGCTCCGCCTCTAAAAGAGACAAGAAATTCCACCTCACAGTAAGCCCCGCCTGTATTTCAGACAGGAAGCTCCGCCTCTATAGGACATAGTAAGCTCGTCCTCTATGCCCCGCCTCCTGCATGTGTGTAACGTCACTTTCATGAGAAGTGCAGGTGTTACTGGTCAAATAAAAGATGTTTTAAACTCTCACACATTCACACATTCCTGCCTTCTGTAAACTCCGCCCACATCCTGTCACATGTTGATGTGTGTGTGATGATGTTGAAGGTGGTCAGGGTTATTAGGTGGTATGTGTTAGTGGGAGGTGTGGTTGCCACGGTGATGGCCTACCTGGCTCCACGTCGTGCCAGCTGCCGCTCGGAGATCGGCCTTGGCCCGGGTAGTAGGACTCCTCACCCGGACTGTCCACGTCCTCCTCCATGCACTTTATTCTCTTGGCAGAGCTGCACACGCACACACACACACACGCACGCACACACACACACACACATGCACGCACACGCAGAGGGCAGAGTTGCTTTGTTAATGTTACGCAGAATCTCAGAGTTTCTGTGAGCCGGTCTTTAACCAGAACAAGCCGGGTCACATCCCCATTCAACAAAATGTGATTTTATTCTGAAAACCTTCTACAGACAGGAAGTATTAATATGAAAACATGAAAAACACAAAGAACAATTTACTTTTGAAAGATTCGATTATGATTAATAGAGCAGACAATTGGTTTATAAGTCACAAGTCTTTACACTCAAGTCCAGACAAGTCGAGACTCACAAGTCCTGAGTCAAGTCCCAAATCAAGATTCACGAATCCAGAATCAAGTCCAGAATTAAGACTCACAAGTCCTGAGTCAAGTC